TGTTTATTTGCTTGTTTGTATGTCCGTGTGTTTTGCGTGTATGTGAGTATGTTTAAATATATTTTTGTATTGCTTGGATTTTTTAGTTTTCCGTATATAGTGAAAGTTCATTGCTGTCATAATAATGCACCGATTTAAAGATATACAAACATCATCATGCATGCTATCATAGTCAGATATACATACATAAAATGTTACATGAAAACATACATATTTGTAAAAGTACATGAAAACATACATACATATATGCAAACAGACATACACACATATATACAAACAAACAGACGTACATACATACATACGCATGCAAACAAACATACACATAGATTTTTATAAGTAAAACTTCCCTCCGTTCATGTTCACGTTTGATTCATAAAATATTTCACCTTTCAGTGCTCTAAAGAAATTAGCCTGTGAATGATGGGCGTGAGGTGTTTGGGCAGAAGTATGATCAGTGAATCAACAACAATTACGACAGCTACAACAATTACTTCAGCATCCACTGAATCAACAACTACAGCAACGACTACTTCATTATCTACTACTACAACCGCCACTGTTACATCAACCACAATAACTACTACCGAATCGAATAGCACTTTAAAAAAAAATAAACAATTACAATTACTAAAAAGAGTTCCAAATAACTTAAGTACTGCAACATCAGCATCAAAAAAAGCAGCAACACCCGCAACTAAAGCAGCAACGTCTACAACAACATCAACAACAACAACATCAACAACAACAACATCAACAACAACAACCTAACAATCATCGACCAACGCAACTTCTGTCAGGCACCCCACCTTACAACTCAACAACTTTTCAACAGCCATACCAATCCCACGCCAACACCACCGCCGACATTTGGGCGGACCCGGTAGCGTGGCTCGATCTTTGAATATTTAAATTAACAACTAGGCACCCACTCAGGCGAGCTACAACAACATCAACAACATCAACAACATCATCAACAACGACATCAACAACAACATCAACAACAACATCAACAACAACATCATCAACAACAACAACATCAACATCATCATCAAAAACAACTTCATCATCAGCAACTACAACTAACCAGTAAAGAAACAATTTAAGTACCACACAACGTTAATGAAAAACATGCTTGAGTCAAAAAAAATATTATCAACAATGTTTTTAGCGTCACATCAAGTAATGATATCATTCACAACAACAACAACTGCAACAACACACTCACAACAACAACAAACAGGAAATGATCGCATTAATTTCAATGATAGCCACAACACCAACGAAACTTTGAAACACAAATGTAAACAAAAAAACTTGAAGAGTAATAAACCCCGCTAACACGTACAACCATTACATGATTACATTAATTACACAACAACAACGACAAAAACACGAGTCACAATAACGATACCAAAGTAATGATGGCA